TGCCCCTGCTGTTGTCCTAACACAGTGTTTCTCAATCTTAGCAACTTTAAGAGGTGTGGACTTCAACTCCCAGAATTCCAAGGAGTTGAAGTCCACACCTCTTAAAGTTGTCAAAGTTGAGAAACACTGTCCTAACAGCTTTTGGATGCCTTCTCCAAGGTCATCTGCATGGTTCCCTACAAATGACTTCTGCCATCCCTTCTTTACCAGGTTGCCTATGTAGTGTTGTGACCCCTACTTCTAGGGTTGTCTAGCTGATTATTCTCTGGAAAACAAGTCTCTTCTAATGGCACCCAAAAGCAAAAAAATTGGGGCAATGCTACAAAATAAGAGCATTTGACAGAAGAGTTGAGAGTATATACTTCATCCAGAAAGATAAAGTAAATTATGAACCTCTGGCATCTGAACTCCTAGCCCACCTTGGCTGATCTTCAAAACTAAGCAGGGTCAGGCCTGGCTAGGATTTGAAAGGGGGAACCATCTGGGAATTCCACATGTGTCAGCTAGAAAACCAAATCTCACATGGCAAACCACTTCCGTCTTGTTGACCAAATGTGGCTCAAAGACACCCCACCTGACTTTTGCCCAAGGACCAATACTCAACAAATGAACCCTTGGCATCTGTACTCCAGCCAACCTTGGCTAACAGTGCCTCCACCTTGCCACCATCTGGCGGATGAGACAAGCTGAAGCCGGTCCAAAGTGTTCCACCTTGCAAGTAGCATTTTCACCAGGAAAACAGAAGAAACCCTCTGATGTGGACAGTCTAGGGGGCATGGAGGGAACCTTTTGGAGGTCCTCAATCTGCCCACATCCAGCTGCTGGGTTCTGTGCCTCTGTGGCCATTTGTCTTGGGGTGCTGGAAAGAGCAGATCCATTTATTTTTCTTGTAATTTGGCCAGGGGCAGATCAACCTTACAGAAGATGAAATGCAGGTGCTTCACAAGTCTCTTATTTCCTTTGATAAGGGTCCTGTGTTTGAATTCTTCCCTGTAATAGGAATGTGTTGCATTGCCTGGACAACCTCACTCTGTCCTTCCTGCAGCCTGGGTGAAATTCACCAGGTGGAAGGAATTTGTAGTGTGGAAGGAATCAAAGAGAAGGAAAACACACCAATATGGCTGTATGGATGAGCCCCAAGAATGCTATAAATATATTAAAGAAGGCAAGGGAGAAGCTTCTCTAAACCAGAGGTTCTCAACCTCAGCAATTCTGGGAGTTGAAGTCCACACATCTTAAAGTTGCTGAGGTTAAGAAACACTGCTCTAAATTGACAGTCACTGTGATTTTCATCCTCAATCTCCTTCTGGGTGTAATTCAAGGTGTGGGTCATCACCTTTCATGCCCTGCAGGCACAGGGTGGAGTTATTTGGGGTTATTTGCCTCTCCTGGAGGGTATCTGCCCATCCCACAAGGTCAGATAGGGTGGGCGTGCTCCAGGTCCCCATCTGGCGGGACCTAGGAGGCGTGCCTTCTCTGTAGCAGCACCTACCCTACAGAACAGCCTCCCCACTGAGATCGGGAAGGCCCCCACACTCTTAGCCTCCTGGAGGGCCATGAAGACTTGGCTTTTCTCCCAGGTGTTGGGGAAAAATGGGAGCTGAGCCTAACCTGTGGAGAGTTGCTGCTGAATTGTTATGGTGCCAGGTTGGAATGTCTCTTTTTATGCATTTCATAGATTGATATTGACCGATGGTTGTTGGCCACCCAGGGTTATACTACATAAGATGGGCAGCCGCAGAAATCTTGTAAAGGAATAAACAAAAATAAATTCCCTCTACTTGGCAGTAAGAAAAAAGACTGACTCCGCCAGTCTACAGGACAATTTTTTACGTTCATTGGAGCAAGCAATACTGAGATCTGGAAGCTTCTGATTTGCAAACACATTAACATTTTGCAATCTTCAAAGATCTGCAGGATGCTCTGGGAATAATGGAAATTACTGCTCTTAAGGACTATAATGCACAGATTATATTGTTCATGTGAGCAAAGCCAGACCAGTAAGCGGGGCCCAGGTGATAGAAACATAAATTAACTGGGCTAATTTCAGTGAAACTCATGGCGATTGGGAGGATGACCACTAAAGGCAGCATTTTCCGTTAAAAACTAGGTCTGACTTCTTAAATTAAAACCAGAGGCACAATTAATTCATACACCTCAAGAGATTTTTATTTATTTTTTTACTGGAAAAAAAGGCCACTTTTCAGAGAAACCTGCCACCTATATTTTTTCATGAGCTGGGGATCAGAGCATCCATTTCCTTGGAAGCCAGCAAGCTTGGACCAACATGCTCTATCAGGACATGCGACTCACATACACATTGGCGCCCTGTTCTCAGAAGAAAGACATCTAGCAGGAAGAAACAACTGGATGGGGCAGGAATAGTATGCAAAGTATCATGACTACCTCCACTCAGGTGGATAATTGGGGGTCCCAGGAGCCCTTAGCTCTCTAATTTATTTGGAGAGGTGGGGACATGGACAATTACAGGTAGTCCTTGACTTAGGACAATAATAGGGACCGGAATTTCCATTGCTAAGCAATGCAGTCGTAAAGCGTGATGTCATGTGACCACGTCGCTTAGCGACAGCAATCCCAGCACTCCCTGTTGACACTGTTAACTGAGTTCCACCAATTGCTAGCCAAGGGCCCACCCCAATCCAAGCCATTCTGGGCTTGGTCTCTCCCAACCCCGAGCCTCAGTAAGGCAAGGGACTGCCTCCAACTCCCCCACCCACCTCTCTCCCCCCCATCTCTGCCCTTCTGGCCGCCCTGCACCCTGTCTTGCAGGGCAGCAAGCAGCCCCAGAACTGCGCCACAGTGCAGCACAAAGCCGTAGCCACCCCTGGAACCCTTAGCCGCCCCAGCCCAGTCCAGTCCCAGATGCAGTCACCCTCACCACCCTGTACTCTGGGGCCCCTGCTGCCCTGTGCTCCGCCACCCCAGCTGACCTTCGCTGTCTTTTCACTCCCGCTGCTGACCAAGCACGCCCAGCCTGGCCCTGTGCGAGGCAGCTGCTGGCCATGTGAGGCCATTTCCCCAGGTCTCGCAAGGAAAGCACCATGCACGACCTGAAGAAGAAAGCCTTGGCCAGCAGCGGGAGCAAGAAGAATGGCACAGGTCAGCTGGGGGCGTCAGGGGCCGTGGAGTGCAGGGGGCCAATAGGGCAGAGATGGAGGGAGATGGGCAGGTGGGGGGAGTTGAAGTGCCCCTGCGGTTGTAAGTGCGGGCAGGCTGCCAAGTGCCCGAATGTTGATCACATGACCGCGGGGGTGCTGCAACGACCATAACTTTGGGGACCGATTGTAAATCCCTTTGTTCAGCACCGTCGTAACTTCAAACAGTTGCTGAATGAATGGTCGTAAGTCGAGGACTACTTGTATTCCCAGCAGACTAATTCTAAATGCAAACAGTCAAACCTGACTTAGCACATGTCTGGCAATCATAATAAGGCTCCATTGTTATATTTTAAAATCTTACTGTGATTTACTGTTTCAAAAAAGAGAGCAACAGCAACTCGGGTCCAAAATGTAGGTGTCCACAGGGTCTGGTGAAAAAAGTCAAGATGGCAGCCATGATGGTGTGACAAGCTCTGCAGAGGTTCAGTCACACCGTCATGGTTGCCATCTTGACACCCTGTGGGCATCTCTACTACAGGCCTTTTCTCCAGCTGTATTGGACATCAGGTCTTGTAATTTCCAGCCAGTCCAAAGCATCAGGAGACCACCAGGTAGAGGTAGTGGACAGAGATTTAATTTGCTCAGCAGATTTTCAATGTCACTTAGAATTAGATTTGGCTATTGCATTGCCCAGTTCATAATACAGACAGGATACAATCCGGCAAACCTATAGAAGGTTAAGCCACTCTCAGGCATATAAGGTCCAGTTGTGTACAGCAGCAGCAGTATTTCAATTCTTAATGAGAATATACCTGACAAGAGACATTAGAGCGTAGTGCTAAAAGTCCCAGAGTACGTTTTGTAAAAACTAACGATGTGTTGATAATGGCAGAACCGGTGTGAGTGCCGAGAGAGTGACGTATCCGCTGAAAAGCGCAGGCACCCAAGCAGAAACCGGCCACTGTAGGCGGCTAAAGAACAACAGACAGGACAAACAGACGAGCATAGCAACAAAAGATCTGTTTACCTGGGGCATAACCTGGGCTGGTGGTCGGGTAGATATTCGGATTGTAGGTGGGGGCCGCTGTGGGATATCCAGCAGGATAACCTGCAAAGGGAGAGTTGATGGTTTAGTTGGCAAGCAGGTGAAAAGGAATGACTTTTACAGCAAGACAAACAGCCACTGCCAAACGACAGGCCGGCAAGAGATCCGCTCAGAACAATCGCTCTTGAACTCTGTTCTGGCTTTCTTCCCCAAAGGGCAATTAGACGTGCAGAACAATGAGACCTAACAGCACTTGCTTAATTTATCACTCTCTGTCATTTCTGTAGTGCACTCAGCTATCTTTGATTTTATATCAGGTAGGTGCTGGTCTTCAGCCATAAAGATTCTCCAGGCAATTCATGCTAATAAAATCAGGTTTATTGCTTCGGTCTCCCTGCTGGAAGAAATAGCCACTTGGGGTACATAGGCCAGAGTTTAATCAAAATTGGCCAGGAGGAACAATGGCCAGCAGACCCCACCCCCACAAATGCTGTGGTCCTTTCTTCCTTGGTAGCTGGATATGTGAAGTACAGTGACATCAAGCTGGGCCTTAATGGCTTCCCACCAACTGATGCCCTCCAGATGTTTGGGACTACAACTCCTGCCATCCTTGCTTAGCTGGCCATAGAGGGGGGATGCAGTGCAACAGACACCAGCTTACAGAGAGGATCCTAACCAACTGGGAAGCCGAGGTGTGGCCAAAAGGATCTGAAGATGCTGTTACGGGGCCCCAGACTCTGCACCCCCAAAGGCAGCAGGGAGCAGAGGGATTATCAGGAGGCCCTTCTGAGAGTCCTCCCCCTGGTCCTCCTGCTGCAGATGCCCTGGCTGGCAAAGGAGAGAGAACGTTAGCATCTCTCAAGCCATTCCCTGGTCCCCTTCTGTTTTTGTGGTCTCCCACGTTAGGGGATGTGACCTCTGCTCTCCTGACACTTGCCAGCCAGATGTTCCAGAAGTTCCTACGAGGACCTTTTCCTTGCTTGGGCCAGTCCTGTGCCCCCGTGAACAGTAATAGTGGCAAAACGTATTTGGGTCCAGAGGCTCTGATGGCCTTGTGTGATCCGCTGGGTGTTCTTCTCTCCAGCATGGGCCTTGGTAGCCCCAAGGCACCATTCCCAAAGGCATCCTCTGAAGCCTTTTCACAATTTGCCCCAATTTACAAGCCCCACATGACTCTGGGGGCAGCTACGGAAGTCGGCTTCTTTTCCTTTAACATGTAAAGCCGGCTCTTTTGAGTTAATGAGATTCATCTGTTTCCACCATGCCAGAATAAATAACTCAGTTCCAACCTCTTATTTTTATGAGTGTTGTGTTCAGCTACTAAATCAGGTTAATTAAAAATGGCTACAGTTAATTCTGGAGATGCCGAGGATTCAGATAGTATGTCAGGGCTGGGCCGCCGAGGCGACCGTGGAGTGCACAGGATTCTGGCAATCAAACATCTCTTTGAGCTTTATTTATAGAAACCCAGCAGTGGCACACCGAATGCTAATAAGGACATGGCTGAAGCCAAGAAGAACGCTACACACCGTTTCTTACGCGCTGTCTGGATGGCAGCTCTGGGAGATTTTCCATTTGGCTCCTGAAAAGGCCAGTCCTTGTGCCACGAGGACTGGTTTATCATTACCTTTTTACTACAACGCTACCTATGGTCCCCACCTTCGTTACCCCTCAGGGTTGCATAGGAGGAAAACATCAGAGAATCATTCCCAATCCGGCACCTCCAAATGGCTTTTCTAAGAGTTGATTCCTCAGTGTGCCTGTAATCTCTCATGCCCCCTTGGCCCACAAAGATGAGATCAGTTGGGGAAGCCACAGGAAAATCTTTCCTACGTCACCTCTCTTGCCACCTTCCTCAAACTGGTGGCCCCCAGACATGCTGGACTTTCCCCGCATTCTGCTATTGGACCAATGTTGTTAGCTCTTTTCCCTAAAGTTTATCTCTAAACATACATGCGCGCACACACACACTTCTTTGCAAAGGGCCCGAGTTACATGAAAGTAATTACAGCTAGTGATGCCAAAAAGAAAGGGAAGATATGGCCACAGATGCAATCATACATGGAGAATCATGAATCGTTATTTGGCAATGAAGAGGAAATGCAAAGGGCACCTGGGTTGGCATGAAATTGATTCCTCTACCTTGCATTAGTCTCAACATACAATTCTGAAGGATCGTGTTTGCAACTCTTCTTTCTAGAACCAGGTCAGTTCCAGAAATCTGTCCCAGCACAGCAGGCAGCTTCAGGAACTCAGATACAGTAACTGACCTCTGGTCTCTTAATGTAGTCCAACCCAATCTATTCCCCATCCAAAATGGAGGTGGGAGACTTGGGTAAAAGACCTGCATACAGAGGTCCTTCATATCGTCCTCAGGATCTCCAAAGAGGGAACAGATGGCAGGGGATGGAAAAATACTCTATTCTATGCAACAGAACTGTCGGGGCAGATAACTCTAAACCAGACACATTTTCTCATTCAGCACACAGCAGCTCTCTATTTGCTTCTGTAATCCTTTTGATTTCAGATGGTTGACATTTTATGAAGCTTGATAAGTGGTTCTTGAAAAGGTGGGAGTCACACGGAGCAGCATTTCCAAATACTACTAAGGCCCACACATTTTGAGGACAACAGGCTTCTGTGATTTGCAAAAGAGCTCTTGGCTGAAGAGTGAATATGAGCCCTTGGAGAAGTCAATCAAGCAAAAACTCCCAAATTACTGTTTGAAGAGTGTCCTCCAGACACAAAGGATTACAGTATGTGGTGTAAAAAAAAAAAAAATGATGAAGCCCCCAATTGGTGAACCACAGAGGAAGCTGGAAATTTAGCTTCTGCCCTTCAGTCCAAGCACTGAGTCTGGTCCAGAGAAACTGAAGACTCAAATAGTTTGATTTGTGCCAGTGCTGCATTGGAGCTGGCTTCCTTCTTTTAGCTGGGGTTAATTTATTTTAATGACTAGGTAACATATATATTGGTATTCATCAAAAGATAATATAAAATACCAAAGGAGTAGACAGTCTTCCTTCTTCTCTTCCTACAGCCCTGGTCAAACAACATAAGAGTTCTCTTTGTTAGGCATATTTCTCATCCAGATTTTATTTATTAGTCATGACAGCATACATGACAGCATATTGAATCTCGGTCTACAAATCAAGGCTCCTGAATTGTCCAGGTCCCTGTCCTAAATTAGGCAACTCTCCCTCCTATCACCCTCAGTCCTTCTTCTACCTTTGACGAAGAGAGAAGGTATGCTCTCTTCTCATCATAACATCTCCTCCAACCAGGCAGCCTCCAGATGGCTTCGATATTTCCCATGGTTGCTAATCAAGGACCATGCTGATTGGGGATGGTGGGAGCTGTGGTCCCACACCTCTGGAGGACATCAGGTTGAGAGAGCTGCATTAGTATTTACAGGAACTGGTGCAAGTGGTGGTGGCAACAGCGAGACTCATCAGTGGTTTCTTTAAAAAGCCAGCGCATGGCACAGAAGTCATTTTGGCTTTCTTTTATGGGCAATGGGGAAGGGAGAAGAAAGTCTGTCTCTTTCTTATTAACAGATGAAAGTTTACATCTGTCAGCTTTTGCATACAGGATTTTTGTTTCCCTGTGGTTCTGTAAACGGCTGTATCATGGCCCTGTAAATCTGAGATTATTACCCAGTAAGTCAGTCTATGAGGAGGAAAAACTATTATTAGTCAGAGTCCAATACCACTCCATGCTCCTCAATCTATCTCTATATGCTACTAAAACTTTCGTGTCTGTCTGTCTGTAACCTTTAACTGGCCAAAACGGTGCATCATAGGCCAACCGTTTTTGAACCAAGGATGAAACCTTGGTTCAAAACCATGGTTCAAAACCACTAACTTACAGAATGCGTCCAAAATCCAGGACCCATGACTCCTCCTGTGGAATTGAAATTTGGGAAATTTTATAAAACATTTTATGACATAAAAATGATCATAAAACATTTTATGACATAATACAAAATGTCATAAAACATTGGTCAACTCCTGATGTTTGACTGTGCTATGAAGTTCGATATGAATGACACGGGCTATTTTCATAGCAGATACATCTCTGAATAGCTCCCTGAATTTTTAAGAACTTTTCCAGTGAAGGCAGCACATCACCAGCTCTTCCATCGTGTAAGGCCTTGAGAAATCTGGTATGGAAGGATCTCTGACACACTCCCCCACCTGGCACAAGCCACTTACCTGCCTACTCCCTTTGGGCTCACAACCTACAGCAATCCTAAACTCTTTGGAGGTGATCAGCGCTGCTGGGCTGCCATGGTCAGCCATGTTCATGTGATCCTCATATCAAATGCTGACAGCTTCCCACGAGGGAGGGAGGGAGGTTGGTTTACAACACTCCCTGCCAGCTTCCCACAAGGAAACTTAACAGGGAAGCTGGCAGGGAGTGTTGTAAACCAACCTCCCTCCCTCCCTCCCTCCCTCCCTCC